CACACACTCACACACACACACACACTCACACACACACACTCACACTCACACTCACACTCACACTCACACACACACACACTCACACACACACTCACACACACTCACACTCACACACACACGCACACACACACACACTCTCACTTGCTCACCCGCCCTCCCCCCCACCGAGCAGCAGCGGGCAGCAGTGCTCACCTCGCCCCCGTTGGCGTACTCCATCACGAAGCACAGGCGGTCATGGGTCTGGAAGGCATACTTCAGGGCCTGGGGAAGGAACCAGAGTGCTGGGCAGATGCAAAGCTCTGCCAGCGGGACAGCGGGGGCCTGAGCCGTCACAGCCTGCCCCGTTAGGGTGCTGAGTGTTCAAGTCCGGGCAAGCTCAGGGAAGGAAGTGTGCCCTGCGCGCCCAATGCTGGCTCAGGGGCTCTCCTCGTTTGAATATGAGATGCGCCACACAGAGCTGTCCTCTACCCACACCCCCCCGCTCGCCGTGGCGCAGAGTGAACAGACTGAGCGCCAACTCCAAGGCAAGATGGACAGCTGCCGGTCCACAGCAGCTTCCAAGTCGTCTTCTGGGCCCTAGAGAGGGCGCCGCACCAGTCAGTCCCTGGCAGTCCCTCTGCTCACACAAAACGGAAATGCTATGCTTCTGCCTTACACTGAGGTGTCTCATAAAAGCTCACGTGAACAAGTACCATGACTTCCTAGGGCAGCAACTCGATGAAAGAAATGGTGCCTTAACCTAGTCCACCAAACCAGCAGGGGCTCCAGACACCACAGCCTCAAAGCTGCCTCCCGCACCTGCTCAGCTGGAGTCAAAAGGCAACGAGGGCACGCCTGTGTCTTAGGGCACGCCTGTGTCTATGGGATCATAAAACCAAAACCAAAACGCAGTCTTCCCACTCTGGCAAAGACAGCTGCCATGCAACCAGCACCCAGTGTCCTGCTGCCCCAGCAGTCTGGGATCCCAGTGAGGCCTTGCCTGGCCTACACAAAGTCATGTTTACAGTGCAAGGCTTGGCTCCCCCAGAACTCTGTCCAAGGGTTGGCAGGGAGAGGAAACTCACAGTAAGGAAGGGGTGCCTGGTATTCTGCAGGACTCGGCTCTCAGTGACCGTGTGGGCGACTTCATCCTGTGGACACACAGCGCATGTGAATGGCAGGGACACATGCCAACCTGCAGCTCCCGGTGAGGAAAACCCAGGTGAAACCACATCCACAGTGGCAATCAGAAGGCAGGAGCAGAACCACCAAATGACGGCCCAGACAAAGGTGATCTCAAAGCAGCTGACAGGACTTTACAATGGAAACACTGGGCTAGCATCACCTGAATCCAGGCCAGCCATTAACATTCCACTGTAGCTTGACTCTTCAATGACCCCAAAGAACCATGTGCTGGAGGCTTGGTCCCCACCTACAGCACCCTCGTGACGTGGGAGACTTTGGGAACACAGAAGCCAGTGAGAGGAAGCAAGGTCACTGTGGGCGTGCCCCTGAAAGCAAGTTCGGGCACCCAGACTCTCCCCTCTTACTTCCCCGATCTCCTCTGCATGTGCCCTATAACGAGGTGCTAAAGTCACCGAATATAACCATGAACTGAAGCCTGCACAACAGCCCCACCACTCCTCCCTGCACAGTCTCTACTGCAGCGTGTCACCATGGCGCAGCTCAGCATCTTCCCTAAGGGGGAACAAGCCGGCAGCAAGTGGTCCCTTTACCCCCAGGTACCCCACCAACGTGGGAACCCCAGCTTTAGAGAGAGGGCTAATGAGGGCTCTAGATCTTAGCCGTCCTTCTCAGGGGGAGGCCTGGCACCAGCAGCACCAACCTCGCAGAGAACTTGCAGAAATACAATATAGCGGGGCCACCCTGTCAGAAACTCAGGGTGAGCACGGTGGGGGGCCAGTGCCTCAAAAGCTAAAGTTTGGTGTCTGCCTGAGGCAGACCACAGGAGAGCTTCCAGAACTCCCTACTGCTACCCCAACAACCCGGGCAAGCCTCTGCTCAGGAGACACGGGACTATCAGGTCATTTCTGCTTGTCACAGACAGGGAGGGCTTCGAGTGCCCTTGCATGCGCAGTGGCGGAAGCTGCTAAAACTCCTGTCACGCACACTGCTGCCCCCGACTGAGGAATAGTGTGACTCACAATACAGCTATAAGGTTTCTCTGTATAGCCCAGGTTGTCCTAGAACTTTTTCTGTAGACCAAGTGGCTTTGAACGCAGAGCGGTCCATGTGCCTCTGCCTCCCAAGCGCTGGGATTAAAGGTGTGTGCTTCCAGCAATTGGCAGCCACTGTCATTTTACGGTCCAGTGCGGTGCTAGGAGTGGGCCTTGTGCATGCCAGCTAAGTGCCTGCCCGCTGAGCCCCTTCCTCACCCACTGCAGGCCGCTGCTGCAGACTGAGCACCAGGCCTCAGCAGCAGGAGCCACACAGCAGCTCTTCCTGAAAGAGGCTGCATGATAACAGCATGATAAAGTCTCCTCTTTAGTCCCAATAAAAGGGAGCCTGAGGGAGCACTCATCAGCTCCCCTGTGTTCTGTTTCCTTGCTGTTGCTTTGCCCTGGCCTGGTGGGAGCACTCTTGTTCATACAGCGTAGACTGCCTTACCTCGCAGGCCACACCCAAAGCCAACAAGGTCTAAGCTAGTCACTGCAGCGTTATCTTTGGTCCGCCCTGAAGAAGCGTCCTTGTCCCGAGCTCAGTGGCTCACCTTGGCAATGATGACCTCCTTCCGTAGGATCTTCATGGCATAATAGCGGCCTGTGGCCTTCTCCCGCACTAGGATGACTTTGCCGAAGGTGCCCTTGCCGAGGAGTTTGAGATAGTCGAAGTCATTCATGGTCTGTGGGTGGGGAGAAGGCAGAGCCTTTGGTATTTTGCACTAGGTCCATGGGACAAAATTCTACACGGAAGAGGAAACCTAAAAGGCGCTAGGGCCTGAAGGCTTCGGGGAGTGGAGGGTACGTGGCAACCCCGTGTGCTGAGGCTGCAGGCAGGCCCAGGCTCTCCCAGCTTTGGTTGGCACTGTCTCTCACACAGTGAGCACAGAGTAGCCCCTCACAGCATCCATAACCAGAGGCCATCCCACACCAGCAAGCCATGAAGACCCTTGCTGGCCCTTGTGTCATCTGTGTGGAAAGCCCGGCAGGCAGGGCGGCTGCAGCCCCCACTCTGGCCACCAGGCTCCAGCACTTACCACTTTGGCCCGGGCCTTGTTAACAGCCACCTCCATCATCTCAGACGTGGAAGAGTCACTGGGGGAGCCACACTTGTACTCCATGGCATCCTCACCTGGGCCCTGCTGCTTCAGACTGTTGGCGACCATCTGGATAGCCCGCATCCACTCTTCCCTGCACGAAACACAGTCCTGAGAACTCCTCCCTGCCCAGCTACAGCCCCACTGCCCACAGAGGGCAGGTGGATGACCAGACCCCTTCCGGCACTTGATAAAATCCAATGCTGGCAGGACTGATGCGTCTTGACTTGAACCTCACAGGCTTAGGCAGCGGAGAAGGCAGGCGGGTGTGGCGTAAAGGCAGATCTACTTTCTGGAGTGCTCTGGCCTGCAAGGCCCTTGAAGTCAGGTAGCACGGAGATAATCAAAGGAGGGAGAGCACTCTATGAGGCCCCCGAGACTAAGACTGAGCCTCGGGGAGGAACAGAGCAAGTGGGAAGCTCAGGCTCACAGGCCACTGCTGTTCTGGGAGGAGAAGACGGAAGACACAGGAAGCCTCAAGAGCCAAAGCAGCCGAAGATCTCGGGAGGCAAGAGCTGTGCAGCAGGGCTCCCGGGGCCCGGCCAGGCAGGCATGCTCAAGGGAAGCTCCTGGAGAGTAGGGCAGGCTGGGGCCAGTAAGCTAGCCCTGGCACTCCTGGGTTGGGAGTCGCTGTCTTGATCCTGGCAAACTATTCTTTCTGTGAGGTAGCGCAAATGACCAGGGAGTACACAGAGGGCTGCGTGGCACTTTGCCCACGTCCTCCACTTTTAACTGGCAATAGACAAGGGCCTGTGAGCAGCGGGAAACAGTGCTCAAGCAAGAGTGTTTACTGAGGGCAGCAGCTCTGCTAGAGGCCAAGAACCAAGACTGAAGCTTCCTGACATCCTCCAGAACGGCCCTGCAGAAGTCTTGCCACTCTGATGGTATGAAGACTGCTAGCAAGGTCACGCAGAGAGGGACAAGTCCCCACCCTGCTGGACTGCTCTAAGATTACCATGGGGACCAGGGTAAGCCACGGGGGTCCCCTGAGTGCACACCGATCCATGCTGGGACACTGGTCATATAGTGAGCAATTGGTCTTGATGCAACTGGGCCCCTTCATTTCTTGGTGTTATCTACAGCAATAGTATGTCTTCCAGAAGCCGGCATCTTAGCAACAATGGAGCAAGGCAGCAATGCTTCACATAAGGGATGCTGGGGGCCCAGAACAGGCCTGGGCATGTATACATCAGACGCTCTGCAGCTCAAAGATTGAGAGAGGTCTCCAAAGATCGGGGCTGACTAAACACCCTAGGTGAAGAAAGAACGGTGCCCAGCAGTGTGGGGTCTGTGCTCAGAGTTAGGCAGTGCTCTCCTTCCATAGGGACGAGAGGGTACAAACATTCCTGCGACCGGTGGCAGGGACACGGCTTTGGAGCCCAGGTGGCCCCAGGAAGGGAAACCGGCCAGCAGGGCCAGGAGATAGTCTCTAATAAATGCAGAACACCGTGTCCCTCCCCACATCGCAAAAGAGAAAACGGAGACTTGGGTTAAACCCCAACCTGCGGGATGGGGTGGGGTGCAGTCCGGTGGCGGAGCGCTTGTCTGATGCCCGAGGCACAGGCAACAAGCCCGGGTGCAAGAAAAGCTCACCAAATCTGCGCCAGGCCTGCTCACCGGACTTTCAAATGGCCTGTGGCCTTCCCCAGGGCCACTGGGCAAGAAAGTTCCTGCTCGGCTCCAGGCTTGCTGAAGCAAGCGGAAACGAAGCTTTGGGGTTTCTGTTACTGGCTGGCCTTCTCAAACTGGCTGTTCACCTGTGAGGTCATGCTTTGTGAAAGGTATGTAAACTTCACACCACGATCTGGGAGACAGGTGCGTAGACAAACGTTGGCACACTGCTCTTCCCCACCCAAGAGACTGGAGGCTCCCAAGCCCCTCAAGGACAGGGTCTGACATCTGCTCTTTCTTGTTTGAGATGGAGTCTTTCTATGGAGTCTAGAACTCTTTGGTTTTTGAGACAAGGTTTCTCTGGGTGGCCCTGGCTGTCCTGGAACTCAGTCTGTAGACCAGACTAGCCTCAAACTCAGAGATCCAGCTGCCTCTGCCTCCCAAGTGCTGAGATTAAAGGCATGCGCCGCCACTGCCCAGCTGAGCCTGAAACTTTTTGATCATGCCACCTGAGCCCTGCACATGCTGAGATAGGCACCACCATGCTCAGTTTCTTCCCACTTTCAATGGGGGTGTGCCCCTAGCACCTGTGTGGGTGCTGGGAGCTATGAAAGGCCCAGGTGGTCACAGGTTCACGGCCCCAAAGCCTATAAAGCAGCGAGGCCAGCGCACACCAAGGCAGGGCTGTGCTGGCCTCTTCCCTCCCTGAGCTGATGCCTCTACTCAGGATTTCTCAATGGTTTTAACCTGTGCCTCCCTTTGGCTAAGTCACAGCCTAGAGCCCAATCCCTACATCAATACCCTTGTTTTCCAAGACACAGAAAGCAGTGGCCAACAACACGCGCCGTGACCCGCTTTAGACGGCCACAGCTGTCTACATTTTAAGACGGGGATTTTGAAAAGGGCAAGATGGCTCAGGGGGAAAAGGCTCCTGCCATCAAGCCTGACTACCTGACTTCAAACCAGGCCTCACGTAGGGGAAGGAGGGAACCCACCCATACGCTGCCTCTGCTAGCCACACGTGTGCTATTGTGTGTGCGTGCTTAAATGCAATCTTTTAAGAGTGGGTTTGTTTTATTTTGTTGAGGCAAGTTTCACTCCGCAGCCCTGGCTACTCTGGGCTACTTTCTATATAAACCAGGCTGGCCTCAAACACACAGAGAGCTGCTTACCTCTGCCTCCCAAGTGCTGGGATTAAAGGTGTGCATCACTATGCCTGGCCAACAAATGTTTTAAAACACGATTTAGTATTACGATGGTGGAATGAAAATCACAGTCATACGAGGTATGACTATATAAAACACCTTTGATACGATTTGAGACGGTCATGTGGCAAGACTGAGACGGCACTGAGATGCACAGGGCGGTCACTGCCTTCGCTGACAGGAAGAGAGAACACAACTCAAGGGGTTGTTTCTGTGGGACTCCTAGTGCAGAAGTCTGCAGGGACAGGGTCTCTACATGCTCAGTCCCCTGCCAGCTCTCTCTCAGACCTGTGGACAGGCTGCTGAAACGGCGGCTCCAGCCCCCTGCCAGCTCTCTCCCAGCCCTGTGGACAGGGCTGCTGAGGCGGCAGCTCCAGCCACCTGGGAGGTGTGAAGACGCAGGGCAGGGTCTGATCCAGACCCACCTGGCTGGAGCACACGAGCATGTGCCATGAGGCAGGCTGTGGCAACAGGCTCTCCCACCTCCTGACCAGCCACCAATCTCTTCCAACTGGACCAAGGTTACAAGGTTGCAGCACTCAGAATTCTAGAGAATAAGTGAGGGCCTCGGTCCAGGACACTCCTCAAGGGTTTGCAACATGGTGTCTGGGGCAGAGGGAGCTCCCACCCAAAGCTGGCTCTTCAGGGCCTTCCCTTTCCCCAAAGAAATCCCAGGGAAACCAAGCCCTTCCCAGCCAGTAGGCAGAATTGGAAGAACATCAGCTCCAGTCAGAGAGCCACACCTGGCTGTGGGTGTCACATGGCCACCCCTCCCATGCCAGGGACCTGAGTATCTACCCAGCCAGGACCTGATGACAGCCCAGGCCTCCATCCCAAGCTGAGGCCCACGGCGATGAAAGAAGGATAATGCTCCCTTGGAAATGTTCGAAGACCAAAGGATACCATTCACAGAGTCCTGGAGTAAAGCAGAGGCCACCTCCCCTGGGAAACTGTGATGGAGGCCACTTTCCAAAGACTGGCTCACTAAACACCCCACTGCCACCTCCCACTGCAGAGGCCACTGTTACACTCCATGCAAAGCAGCCCTTGGCTCCCATCAGCCCGGGTGTCTTACTTTACACATGGGAGAATGAGGAACACAGAGGCTGACAACTGCCCAGAGATGGCCAGCAAGCAGAGGGGACAACACAGAGACACAGACCAGGCACTCCTGCCATGCCCAGCAGCACATCTCCCCATCTGTGGTTCTTTCCTGAACCTCTTCACCCTTCCCCTGGGCTCTAGAGCCTGGAGAGGGACAGCTGAGAAGCTGTGCTCACTCAAGAAACCCTGGACAGAGCTCAGGCCAGCACCCTGCACTAGCTGGGGAGTTAGGAGCAGGCACGGGCCTCAGCTCCACTGCACACTCACCCACCTTCTGCAGACATGTCTCCTGCAGAAGCTGACTCCCACTGTGACCCACAACAGACTCGGCACACCACTGAACATTCCCCTCCTTCACTGCAGACCAGTGAACTCTGGGGCCTGCAAACTCTGAGCAGAGGCAGGGGGTTTGCTTTCTGGCTTCTCCAGCCACGTGCTTCATCCATCTATTAAACTCTGCTGTGGTGGAGATTTGCACACAAGTGACTGGCCACACTCTATTGTAGCTTGATTTGCATACCAGCAAGCAGGGCTATAGCAGCCAACCCTCCTCAAGCCCTGACTTCTGGTTTATAGGGTAAACAGGCACAGGGGAACTAGGTAAGTAAAAAGAGCCATTCAGAACATGAGGTGGTCAACAAAGCATCTAGCCTGTCTTGTCAAGAATATCAGTGTCCTGAGGGGGAAAACAGGCAAGGGAGAACCAGCGTAGATTATGCCAAAGATACAGAATGTACCTAGAGTGAATCCAGGCTCAAAAACAACATTGTCGGGGCCGAGGAGATGGCTTGGTGGGGAGCTGCTTCTGTACAAGCACCTGGAACCTGAGTGCAGAGCTCAGCACTGCCACATAGAGGGCAGGCGCCTGGAACCCAGGGGCAGAGGGTTACAGAGCCAAGGAATAGAGAGCCAGGAGGAGCCTGGGGCTCACTGGCCAGCAGTCACAGCAAGCTCCAGGTTCAGTGAGAGAGTCTGTCTCAGAAAGTAAAGGGGAGAACAATAGAGGCAGTCAGTCTACTCCGGAGTGTGGACGTGTGTGCACACGTGTACTCATATTCACAGAGAGAGAGAGAGAGATAGAAAGAGGGAGGGAGAGAGAGGAAAGGGGAGGGAGGGGAGGAGGGCTGGGGAAGAGGGAGAAGGAGACAGAAGGAAACTAGAAAACTCAAGCAGCACGGACACGCAGAGAGTTAGTAAACATATTACAAGCTCGGGACAGAAGTGCGTCTACCCTGGAGTTCTTTATTCTGGGTATTCACACAGACTGCATTATCTGGCCGAGCACCTCCCATTGTAGAGAGCTACTGTAACACTCCAGCTAAAGGAGGCCACTAGCCTCCCATCAGGCTGGGCATCTTAATCTCATTCTACACGTGGGAAAAAGGGCCACAGAAGCTGTACAGAATCTGAAACATATTGAGCATCATGAGGACACTGAGCTCTGATCTTCGGAGCACTCTGGGGTTCGGATTAGGGCTGTGCCTGCTGCACAACCCCCTCCAGCCTGACAGGGGCACCCTGAATTTGTAAGAGAGGTGCTTAGCAGATGGCTGAGTGGAGAGTGAATCACTCTACTAGGTGGGATCAGAAATTCAAGATCTGGCTTTAGATCATACAAAAGCAAGGCAGGCAAGGTGGCTCAGTGGTGAAGGCATCTGCCTTTAGATCTGATGACCTGAGTTCAGTCCATTGAACCTGCGTGGTAGGAGAGAACCAGCTCTCTTGCAAGACAGCCCCTGACCTCCACATGCACATCAGGAATGTACACATGTATTCCTTATCTCACACACACTGGAAAAAAAAAAAAAAAAAAAAAAAAAAGGAACAGCTAGACGCAGCTGGTGAGGACTGAACTACAGCATCTATGTGAGGTTCCTGGGTATTCAGTCTAAACGTCTCTTCATCAAAGCATGCTTGTGCTGGGCATGGTGGTATCAGGTAAAAGGAAACTCCAGTCCCCAGACTGCAAGAGGCAGAAGGGACAATGACTATCTGTGGTCTGTTAGCACACCAAAACCACACACTGACCTCCAGGCTCCCTCAGAATCACAAGTGCCTGTCACAAATTCAAAGTCCATCCTAGCTCTTCTCACTTCACTTCCTCCCCAGCTCATTCTCCTAAACCTGCTATTTCAGCTGAGCCTTCGGTCTTTCCCACTGTCCACCTTGCTCTCCCTCTACGCTGTCTCTCTCTCTCACGCTCCCCTACTCTCCACCCCAACCCCGCTCTGCTCCTGGCCATGCTCAGTCTACTCTTTCCGTTCTCTCCTCTGGACTCTCCCACATACCCTCTGGCTGCCCTCTCCCTCCTGTCTACAAGAAAACCTTTCCCCCTTTACAGGTGGCACTCCTTTAATGCCAGCACTCAGCAGGCAGAGGCACATGGAGCTCTACGAGTTTAACCCAATCTACATGGAAGGAAGGAGGGAAGGGGGAAGGAGGAAGGGAAGGAAGGAAGGAAGGAAGGAATGAAGGAAGAAAAAAAAGGAGGGAGGGAGGGAGGGAGGAAAGGAAGGAAGGAAGGAAGGAAGGAAGGAAGGAAGGAAGGAAGGAAGGAAAACAAACCTGGCAGAATAGCTACGAGGTCCAGCTCCCTGAGGAAGGTGGAGAAGGAACCTAAAGCCCATCAAGTGGGAGTCAGAGCAGAACCCACTCAGCAGTGTTCCCTGTCTTCCCTCCTCTATGTCTCCACACTCACACTCAGGGCAGCTGGCAAGCTTGGGCCTATGTGAACAAGGCCGTGAGGACCACACCAGCTCTCTCCGTAGAGCGAAGGAGCCACCCTTGTTCTATGTCTCTAGCTCTGCTTCTCTTTGGAGCCTAGGGTGTCTAGGGCAGGGCCATCCCAGAAGCCTCTTCTCCATCAGCAGAGGCCAAGGAAAGAAAGAGTAAGAAGCGCCACCTTCATCCTGGACTTAGCATGGCCGGATCTCAGCCACTGAGAACAAGCTGTCTTGTAAAAAGCAGAGCTCAGATGTTGCTGGCCAGTGGCTAATGCCCTTGCCCAGGCCCTGGGCCACTGGGCGCCAGGTACTGCTGCCCCGAGGCTTCCTGTTTATCATCCTCCGAGCCTCTTAACAATCCTGTGACAAACCCCAGTTTATTAAGTGCCTGCCAAGGCCTGCAGGGATCTCCAGTGAGAGCCAAAGCTCTGGCTGGGCTGCCAGCTTTGAGTGTCTCTACTTCCCCTCTTCCAAATGGCAGTCCCTTGATTCTCTGGCTACACAGAACTCCCTGAGGTTGCTGGGACACATGGGCTGTTTCACCTCCAAGCCTCTGCATATTCTGTTCAGTCCATTTTCTGAACTGTCCTCTTACCTATCTCCAGAAACAAACTCTTACCCATCCTTTACACTCACCCAATACCCTTGAGCTAGCATCTAATAGCGTATCTGCTTCTGCTGGCAGTCCATATTTGGTCCCCAATTTTCAAATGGGTTACAGCTCAGCTGGCCTGAGTTGGTAATTCTGTTCTCTGTGGTGAGGCATGTATATTTTTAACCTGGGGAGATAGGTAACAATAATTACAGTATAGATTGTGGTAGCATCTTGTGGTATTGCTTTATGGAGTTCTAAGACAGCACTGTCCAAGAGGGCAGCTTTAGCCACACCAACACCTACTAAAGTCAACGGAAAGTAAGTGAAGCCACCAGTTTTGCTGGCACACACCTGCAACCCCAACTTGGGAGGCAGAGGCAGGAGGGTCAAAAGCTGATTACCAGCCGGGTAATCAGTGGTTTACAGTGATTACAGGCAGTGGTGCACATCTGTAATCCCAGGACACAGGGAGGCAGAGGGATCACTCTGAGGTTGAGGCCAGCCTGATCTACAAGCAAGTCAAGTACAGCCAAGGCTACACAAAGAAACCCTGTCTTAAAGTTGATTACCAACCTTGGCTATACATTCAAGGCCAATCTGGGCTACCTGAGTTCCCACTTAAAAAAAAAAAATAGTAAAGAAAGTGAACCTTCTATTTCTCCACTGCTACATGGGAAATGCTCTATAGGTCTAGGAAGCCTGCTTCAGAGTCCTACAGCTACAGCAGAAGCTCTGCCCAGTGGACGGGCAAGAGGGCTGTTCCTCCAACTGAAGCCCAAGAGGACAGAGAAGGAGGAAGAACATTTTCCACACTAGGAAGAGCTGTCTACTACAGAGACACAGTGGAAACAGCAGCCCAGCTCCAGCAGGAGGGAAAGAAACTACTGAACAGGTAGTTCAGAAAAAGAATCCCCTCAAAACAGACTCACCCACAGACAGAGAAAACTTAACCCTGCTCAGACAGCCAGGATCCTTGTGTTTGACAACACAAGGTTACAGGGACATTTTTAGACATCGCCTGACAGAAAAGCTCTCAAAATCAGAAATATGTCCTCGCTCTTGTGAGCCTCGGTCTTCTCCCTGAGGATCATCCTATGGACCGGAACTGAAGCCATGGGAACCAAACACACACACATGCTTCTTCACAGCAGCACTGCCTTAACAAGCTCAAGGCTGGAAACACATCACTTCAGAACTTGCTAAATAGACTCAGGGACACCCATGAGTGGGAGCTACCAGAGAAACGAAAGAACACGGCAGGAGCAACACACACTGTACAGTTAGAAAGGCTCCCCGAGACACACCATGCAGTGAAAGCAGTGAGCTCAGCATGGTGCAATGCGGCCTCTGAGATACAAGGTGCCCCGTCTCCACTTGCTCTTCAAGGGCGCTGTGGTGACTTGTTAGGAGTGGCCCCCATGAAATGCTTGGCCCATAGGAAGTGGGACTATCAGGAGGCGTGGCCTTGTTGGAGGAGGCGTGGCCTTGTTGGAGGAGGCGTGGCCTTGTTGGAGGAGGTGTGGCCTTTGGAGGAAGGGTGTCACTGTGGGAGCAGGCTTTGAGTGTGGCAGGCACACAGCCTCCTTCTGCTGCCTGTGGAGCAGGATGTAGAACTCTCAGCTCCTTCTCCACACCAAGCCTGTCTGTATGCTGCCAGGCTTCCCACCATGATAATAACAGACTAAACCTCACCATGGCCATGGTGTCTCTTCACAGAGACAGAAATCCTAAGACAGGCACAAAGAAACTTCAAGCTGGAGGGCTGGGAGAGGGGGCATCACACAGATGAGGTAGCCAGTGTTATCAGATTGGCCTTGGCCTCATTCTGTAGCCTACAAAGACCTAGAGGGGCACCTCTCCTGCCTCAGCCTGCCAGGTACTGAGATCCCAAGCATACACCGTTAATGTATGCCATGCTGGCCTTGAACTGACTATGTACCCAGGGCAAACCTCCATCTCCCCAGTGATGGGATTACAGGGCTTGGAGGAGTAAAGCCAAAGCCTCATGCATTCTGGGCTCTTAACTGAGCTACAGCTCCAGCCCTGACTCTGTGGACCAGAGCCCTACAGTAGATCTATGTGTACATATGTAGAGCGCAGCTAGCAAATCTCCATGTATCTCCATGTCAGGAGCAGGCAAGAACTCCATTTCTCCCCGGGACTCTGACCTGTTCCCAGAGTTTGTAGATGCTGAGTGGGGGTCTTTAGAGCAGTATTCCAGCTCTTCCCAGCTCCAGTTGGGAAGAGCCCATGTGCGAAAGGCTCCAGGTGGAGGGCTCTGCCCACCTACACCTTCTGCCTCCATTCCGGGCCTGTCCACTCTCAGGACAGCCACCCGAGGCAACTCACCTCTCGTCCGGAGAGTCTACATGGAAGGTCCTCTCGATGACTGTGGTCCACTGCAGGCAGCGGATGACGAAGGTGTTGGGCCGTGGCCTCTCCGTCTTCATCAGCTGGCACTCTGCAGGTGCAGGCAAGAAAGATGGAGGGGATGGTCCTGCTCCCTAGAGACCAAACTCCCCAAGGCAGCTTTTCTGTGCCAACCCCCATACCAGATGACGCCAGGACCTGAGACAGGCCTGACCCTGCCCCCCAGGATGTCATAGTCTCCACCTGCTCATCAAGGAAACAAAGACACCCAGCTGCAGGAAGGGCTGCACATTCAGGGCAAAAGGAGGCTTTCACTCCACACAGTTCCTTACTTTCTTGGTTTCACCTGCTCCCCATGATTCCAAGGGACGGAACTCAGGGCCTAATATACAGCAAAGGCTCTACCACTGAGCAAGGATTCTGGTTTCCTTTTCTCTTGTGAAACACTAAATTATTCAGGCTGACCTTGAACTCACTCTGTAGTCCAGAAAGGCATTTCTCCTGCCTTCAGCCTGCCAAATACGAAAGCCTGCCATGTTTCGAAGGCCAAACCACCAAAAACAACTCCGGAGTCATGGCCAGATAGGAAAATACAAAGAACGTATCTAACCTAGCTTAGGGCCTTAGGGAGGAGGGTTCTCCTGAGGATAAAGCATGTCTGAACTGAGCCCAGGAAGGCAATGGGGCCAAGTCAGTAAGACAGAGTGGCACAGTGCAAGGCAGGCCACAGAAGCCTCAACTCTTGAGAGGTGGGACAAGCTGGCCAGGCAGAGCCTTGGAAGACACAGTGAGGAATACAGACTCTGTCTTTGGGGTCATCAGGAGCCATGTTAGAGATGTGGAAAGACTAAGATGAATCCTTCTAGCTGAAGGCCAGGGCCAGCAGCAGACAATTAACCATGGTGAATGGGCTACAGTGGAGTAGAGTAGAGCTGGGGAGGGAAGGGCACTTGACAACAGGGCAGGGAGAGGCATCTTGGGCCTGACCTAGGTCACTGCCTGAGATGGAAACAGGAAGGTGGGCCAGGGGATCGGACAGTCAGCTTGGGACATGGGACACGGTGACCATGTGGGTCCTAGAGGCCACCCGCAGAAAATGTCAAGAAGCTGCCGGAGATGGGCTGGCAGCTCAAGTGAGAAGCTGGAGCTGCTAACAGATGAGCCAGGGCCAGGCAGGAGAAGAGAGCAGCCAGAAAAAGGCTTCCTGCACAAGGGGTGGGGGTAGGGGAGGCTCTAGGCTGGGTCCAGAGACTGCTGGAGCGAGAGGCAGAAGCTACGCAAGGCCTCAGAGAATGGGCTCTGGGGTGATGGAGACAGGGCAGTCTATGAAACATTCTCAACAGGTATGGCAAGGACATGGTATTGGGTCCACAGTGAAGGAAGGAGACAGAAGCACAATGGGATTCTTGGGTTTGTCAAGCTGGTCAAGCTAGAAAACACAGGGTTAGAGGGTGGTGGTAGAGTACACCTTTAATCCTAGCATGCAGGCAGCAGAAGGAGGCAGACCAAGTTCAAGGCCAGCCTTGATCTATAAAGTGAGTTCCAAGGCAGGCAGCCAGGGCTACACAGAGAAGCCCTGTCTCAACCTGGCCCCACCAAAAAAAACAAACAAACAAACAAAAAAAAACAACCCAACCCAACCCAAACAAACAAAAAACAGAAAGAAAGAAAGAAAAAAGGAAGGAAGGAAGGAAGGGAAGGAGGGAAGGAAGAAAGGAAGGACAAACACAGGGAACTATGAACATGATGAGCCCTGGAGCAGCTCAGCGGGTGCTGACATTTGGCTAGTGGAACAAAGAGGGACGACTTGGGTAACAGAGCAGACAGGACACCGGCTAGAACCACAGAGTGAGAAGGGAGGTATGTGGAAACATCTTGACCTCTCACCATCCTCAGAAAGGAAATGGTCCCTGACAAAGAGCAACAGTAAAAAAAGGGTAGAAGTCAGACCTGAAGGTGAACAGGCCTAAGACAGGCTCTGGCTCAAGCGTGACTATGTCTCATGTGTCCCCAACACCTGCCAATAATGCTGTGAGCTGTGGAACTCTGGGCTCCTGGCCCCAAAACACACCTGCTACAGAGAAATTGTTGAGGGGGGGTAAGGTCTGGTCAGGGGCCTCGGGCCTCTCCTTATATCCAATGAAAGATCCATCACTCTTCAGAAGGAAGTACCGGGGCCTCCAAGTCTTGATGTATTCACCTGAAACAAGGCAGGAGGAGAAAAGGTCAGGGAAAGGTTAAGCAGAATCCCAGCAGGCAGGCAGCCAGGGTGACAGCGACTCACAGGAGCACCACACTGGGAAGGAGGTAGATGACAGTCTCTCCCAGGGGAGCCTGGAGGGGGCACCTGCTGACGCAGGCTGGGCACTGCGCCGGGCCTAAGGAACCCACAAATCACACCTGGCAGGAAGACAGCGCAATGGTATCCAGGGCTCAACTGCCATGCACAGACGGCAGAAGCAAGCTGTCTGTGCCACCGTGGACTGTTCTCAGGACGGCCCAGACTCCAAACACTCGGAGCCCATAGGCTGGTATCTACCAACACAGCCACGAAGGGATCAGATGCCCAAACACTGTCCCACCCTCTAAGCACCCTTGATCCCTTCTGATTTTTCTGACTGACTGAATACTCAAGTCCCCTGGCTTATAGGCACACGAGTATACACACCCAACACTCCCCAAGGACCCATTCCTTAAACAATTGCTGAAAATTAAAATGACATGGAAGCCAGGCATGATGGTTGCACACCTTTAATTCCAGCACGGGGGAGGCCAGAGGCAGGTGGATCTCTGAGTTCCAGGCCAGCCTGGTCTACAGAGAGTTCCAGGAAAACCAGGGCTGCACAGACAAACCCTGCCTCAAAAAACAAGGGAACAAAGGACTGAATGACACGAGAAAGCACATTTCCTCACACACATATGCCCACAGGGACACTATCCATAAGTCAAATGAGGAAAGTGGGGAGGGGAGATGGCTCAGGGCTAAAAGGGCTGCGACCTCAGCCATGAGAAGCAGAATGTAGATCCCAGCCCTGGAACAGCCAGGGGTGGCATGAAGCATCCCTGGAAGCTGACACTGGGAAGGATAGACGGCAGAGACAGGAGCTGTCTGGGTTTGCTGGCGGCTAGCCTCAACAAAGCCCAGCAAGTCCAGGTCAGTAAGAGACCCCGTCTCCAAGGAGTCAGATGGTGAGTGCCAGAGCAGAGGACAACTGGTGACCTCTCTGCACACCTGCACAAATACATACTACATACACAAACACATACAACCACACACAAACACACACACCACACATACAAAGTTGATTTAGGGCTGGTCAGATGGCTCAGTGAGTGTGGAGTTTTACCCCTGAAACATATATGGTAAAGAGAACCAATTGCCACAGTTGTCCTCTGACCTACACACACACACACACACACACCATGGCTTTTGCCAGCACGGTGTCTGTGTACCATGTGCACGCCTGGTGCCTGCAGAGGCCAGAAGGTGTCAGATCCCTTGGGACTGGAGTTGCGGACGCTGCCAGATACCATGCAGTAGCGCTTTCGAGCAATCTGGGTTCCCTACAGGAACAGGCGGTGCTCTCAACCACGAGCCACCACCCAGCCCAATAAGCGTCTTTTACAAGTCGAAACAATCCAAACGCCCATCACAACTTGCTGGGTCCATATAATGGGCCACTATTTGGTCAGAAAAGGAAATGAAGGACTGCTGCCCCGTTGCACAGAGTGGCCGAACCATGGCTTCTGCCTACGACAAAGAAGCCAGTGACAAAGGAGTACAGACTGAGAGTCACGCTGACTCGATATTCGAGAGTGTTGACGTGAGAGGCACTCTGTAGAGAGTGCATTCACATTTGGGAAATTGGCCTTCGCCAGGCTGGTAGTACACAGCCGATTCTCTGCCATGAGGGACCCTCAGTCAGCCCTGTGATCACAAGAGCGCACAACCAAAACTCTGCCATTCCAGGTGGCTACACTAGGGTGCTCAGGGAAGCCAGGAGTGCTGGGTGTGCTCGCAGTGTGACGCTTCTAACTTATGACATATATTCCTAAACTGAGAAGAACACACACACACACACACATATATATATATATATATATATATATATATATACACACACACACACACACACACACACACACACACACACACACACACATGTGTGTGTTTGTCCATTTATATAAAATTGCCAAAATAGCTAACCCTCTGTTAGAGGCTGCCTGGGACTTGAAAGAAGAGGTGTCTGGAGATGGGAATGTGTGAGAACCAATGTGAAAAGGTTCTTTTTAGGGTAGTAAAAACTGCCTACACCTGAAATCCAGGTATGATAACTCATACTTGCAATCTCAGCACTTGGCAGGCTGAGGCAGGGAGATTGTTGAAAGTTCTAGGGCTATCCTGGGTGAACTCCGGGGCAGCCTGCTCTAGTATGAGACCATGTCTTAAACCTAAACAGAGCAAATAGTTTAAAACTGATTATAATACTGGCTATCCTGAGAAGGCAGAGACAAGACAGCTTCAGGAATCTAAAGCTAGCCTGCACAACACAGAAACACTTTGTTTCAGAAGAAAGAGTAAAACTGTACACTCTAACAAAGTAAATATAAAGACAGTTCAGCTGTTAGCTGGAGCCTCCGTCTTCCAGTCATTTGCTAAACTGTCAGACACAGGAAGGGAAAGATGAGAGGCACCAATATTTGTTCCTCAGGCCTTTGAGGAAATGCAGAGTCGCTCCCTTGGCCACATATATGGGAATATACAAGAAGGGCAGCAGTGGAGACATCAAAGGGATGGTAGTGTTCAAAAAGAACAGCCCATAAAAGTTACCATGGCAAAACGGGAAGAGTCTACAGTGTCACACAGCATGCTGTTGGCACCGCTACAGACGGGGAGCTCAGGGCACGGCTGCTGCCAGGAGAATTAATGTGGGCACTGAGCACATGATGCGCTCCAAGAGCCGACAGCTTCCTGAACCGGGTGCAGGGAAAATGATCAGAGAAATAGGAAGCCAAAAACAAAGGTTCCTGGGTTCAGTGGACATGCCAACCTGCTCCCCTCCTCCGCCCCAAAGAGTCTACAAATGGAAAGGAGCCCACGCTGATGAACTCCCTAGGAACTCAGTCTATTAGACAGGAAAATGCAAGGACAACAACTGTAGCCTGGGAAGAAAAGCAGCTGAGTACATGAGAGTCAGTCAGTGTAGTGAAGCAGCGCAGTCACCCTGACTGACCGTCGGAGCGTAGCACCTTCACCGGAGTGTTCAGCATGCGGGGAACAAATGGGTCAACACAACAAAGGCCAAGAGAAAAAGCCAAGATCAGATGGGAAAGTTCCCTGAGGTCAGGAGCAATACCAGGACGCCTGTTTTCACCAAAACTAAGCAAACCTACTGCTTGCTCATGACCGACTGGTGCTCCATGCTACAAAGTGCTTGTAAGGCAACTTAGTGTAAGGCAAAGAAGACACCCAAAAAAGTAAGAGGTGTCCACACTGAAGAGAGGAAGTGGTACCATATCTTCATCTGCAGGAAACAAGATCCTACATAGTGAAAAATCACAGAAGAATCACAAAAGCTGGGCTGTAGCTCAGCTGGTACAGTGCTTGCCCAGCTTGGGTTCCACCCTCAGCACCACACAGACCAGGCGTGGGAGACGGAAACGGCAAGGTCGGGAGTTCACTATCACCGTCAGCTACACACAAAGTTCAAGGATAGCCGTGGCTTACTGAGAACGTAAAAACAAAACAAAACAAAACCAGCCAAGCACGGCGGCACATGACTGTAGCCCCAGCTACTAAAGGGTAGGAGAACTGTGTGAGGCGAGTGTTCCAGGCCAGCCTCAGCAACATAGCAAGAGCCAAACTACAACAATGGGAGAAGCAGGAGGACAGCAAGGAGGCGAAGGAAAGAAGGCAGGCAAGCAGGCAGACTGGCTGACCAGTCTGTAAGTGGACATCTGTACTTACAGATCTGTGCACTTCTGTAAGTCCAGCACTGAGAGGCTGAGACAGGAGGATCACCACGAGCTCAAGGCCATACCTTGTGAGTTCTAGGCCAGATGGTGGTACATCACTGAGCTTGAGAGGCTAAGGGAAGAAGATTATCATGCATTAAGGACTAACCAGGGCTATATAACAAGGCCTTACCTCAAAAGCAAACAAAGCTGGGCATGATGGTTTATATCTGCCTTGAGTTCAAGGTCATCCTGGGCTTTGTGGTAAGTTCCAGGTAAGCCTGGACTGCAGAGTGAGAGATTTAAAAAAAAAAAAAAAAATCTCCCAAATAATCACAAGGGCTAACAGATTCTGTTATGACCATACAAGTCAGTTATGTTTCCATACAACAAACAAACCAAAAAGGAAATTAAGAGAACAACTCTGGGGCTTGAGAGATGGCTCAGCAGTTAATAGCTCAGGCTGCTCTTGCATGACTGAGGTCCACTTCCCAGCTTCCAGAGGGAGAAATGCAACCACCCGTAACTCCAGTTCTTGGGATATAGTACACTCTTTTGGCTTCTGTGGGCACCAGGCACACATGCAGGAAAAACACATTAAAACTGTAAATGGCTATAGCTATAGCTACAGATACAGATATAACATTTTAGAGGGCTGGAGAGATGTCCCAGCAGTAAGACTGCTTTTCCAGAGGACCCAGCTGGGATGCCCAGCACCACAGGGCAGCTTACAATGGACTGACACTTTAGCTCCAGGGGATCTGTGGGCACTGCGTGTACATGGCACAGAGACATGCACAGAACCAAAATACATACAAAAGATGAATAAGATTTTTGTTTGTTTTTTGTTTTTTGAGACAGGGATTCTCTAAATAGCTCTGGCTGTCCTGGAATTCAGTTTATAAACCAGGCTAGGGGGGCTGGAGAGATGGCTCAGTGGTTAAGAGCACTGTCTGTTCTTCCAAAGGTCATGAGTTCAATTTCCAGCAACCACATGGAGGTTCACAACCATCTATAATGTGAACTGATTCCCTCTTCTGGCAGGTGTAAATGCAGATAGAATGCTCATATACATAAAATAAATAAAACTTTAAAAAATAAAAAATAAACCAGGCTGGCCTCAAACTCAGCTTCGGAGGTTAAAGGTATGTGCCACCACGCCTGGCTGAATAAAAGTATTTTTCACAATCAAAGAAAAAATTGGAAGAATACTCTGTACTGGTTAGTCTTCTGTGAGTGTTAACA